AGCACTTTCGAGACCAGGGAGTCTTTGGTTAGCATCAATAGATCCCTAGAGGATCCCAGATAGTCTCTGTGGTTCTAAAACCCTCTTAAAATTGTCTGCAATTTTTTTTTGTACATCTACATGACCACGTGCATTTTTTTCTGGGGTGGGGAGTTCATAGCTTTCATCTTTTTAAAAAAGAGTCAGTGATCCCAACAAAATCAAGAATCACTGTCTTACAGGGAGAAAGCTGATGAAGGGAGAAAATGTTTTATGCACCTCGTCTCATTTAATTCTCATAGTTACCCTGAAAACCAACATCATCATATGCATTTTAAAAATTTTTTACGTATATTTTTAGTTGTTGATGGACCTTTATTTTATTCATTTTTTATATGTGGTGCTGAGAATCGAACCCAGGCCTCACACATGCTAGGCAAGCGCTCTACCACTGAGCCACAGCCCCAGCCCCCATCGTACACATTTTATAGATAGGGAAACAGGGGCTCTGAGCAATAAATCAAGGATTTGCTCACATACCCAACTCTTGTTCCCAACTTAGTCTCGTGGAATGTTAGAGTTGGGAAGCATAAGCCAAAAGGGTTATCTGTCCCTTTTCCATTTCTCCCCTTTTATAGAGGAGGAAATGGAGGCCCAGAGAAATGAAGGGGACTGCCCAGAGTCATGGGGTCAGCTGACAGAAGAAACAGGTTAAAAAGCTCAGTCTTTTGATTCTCCGTGTAAAGTCTTTGCCACCCTCTTATTTTCCTCTTGAAAACTGAGCATGGGTTTTATTAAGTGCTGAACTGAATTATTAAGAGATTCTCCTCTTCCTACCTGTCCTATTCCCTCTTCCTTCCTAGAAGGTTTGGGTATGACTGTCCTGTTTCATGTCCTGCAAAATACTCCACCTGTTAGCCTTAGGAATATGTAAACTCATGCACAAAAAATTCCATGTTCTGAGAGGCAAGAGTCTGAAGTGAGTGGGAAGAAAGCCATTAGCTCAATAAATTCAGTCCCCCTTGAGAAATGTCTTCATAGACCCTTGGGGAGCAGGGGAAGGACTTTGAAGGACGTGAGCCATGATACCTTCTCAGAAGGTGACCAGGCCCTTCCTCCTTCATCACCTGACTACCTCTTGGTGGTCAATAGGATGATTTCCCCTTTTGATTCTTTGCTTGGGTTCCCCTGGGCCTACGTACCATCCCCTGAATTGTGCCTTCTCCAGCCCTCTGGGAATTGCAGATGCCTCTTCCACACCCCCTCATCTGGGAACTGGATTCATCTTTTGCAGTCATCTGTATACTTGTCAGTATTATGAATCCCTTGAGGACACATGCCTGGCACATATCAGTTGAGTTGAATGAATGGCGGACCTGTGTCCTTCTTGCATTAGACCCTCCTTTGTCCCCTTGATCCTTCCCATCTCTGCCAGGAAGCTCATTCTGTGCAGCCTGGGGTCTGTTCTGGCTGAGTATGGGTCAGGGCTGGCTGCACCCCCTCCTGCAGAAGGAAATTCCTTGCCCTTTCTGATTCCTCTTTCTTCTCGGTTCCTGGGGGACACTCATTGATGGGGACCTCATGGAGGTCCTGTCCCACGCAGAATAAATGAGTCAAAATCTCTGAGCTGTGAAGGAAGCAGCAACCGGGTTTCTCCTTGGCCTCTTGGCCTCCGAGAGAACACAGGACCTGCCAAACTCACACCTGTGGGCCGGGCCTGTGTCTGGCTGCCTCCTTGACTGCTCACATCAGGAGCCTTTCTCCAGATACCCTCTGGGTCCTCTGATCTTCTCCTCATTAGCGCCTGCAGCTCCACGCACTTCTTCCCAGGCATGTTCATGGTTAAAACTTTCACAAAAATAGCTTCAAGCTGAGAAGAAGAAAATAAAAGAACTGTGGTTTCTCTTTGCCAAAAACAACAAAGCAACAGCCTGGAAGCCACCAGCTCAGTCCCCAGGCATCACTACTCACATTCCTTTTGCTGTTCTTAGCTGCAGCAAGCCGCGTGGATTCTGCTCCTGAGGTCGTGGGTCACTCCCTAATTAATTTATCTGACTCTCTGATTCCCACTGAGAATCCAGCCTTGTGGTTTGGACTGTGGTTGTTCCCAATCCTCGGACTTTGTGTCATCATTTGGGTCACTCCTGTCCACCCAGTCTCTCCTGATCTTCAATGAAGAATGATTACATAGATGTTTACTTGTTTGAAACAATAATACAAAACCCCACCAGCCTCTGAAATTTGTGTGTTTTGTTAATAATCAATAATCAGTAGCTGGCTATTGATTTGCCTTTTTGAATTTCATATATATATATATTTTTTTTTCCTTTGAAAATTTAAGTAATTATATAGACCTAGTCTAAGTGAACAAAGCCAGATTCCCCAAATCAAAAGGGGTACCTAGATATGTGAACCCTGAAGCAGTCTAAATGTAGGTTTGAATATTCTTTCCTCCATCAACAAATTGATCTCCCTTTCCGTTTTTTTTTCCTGAAAGGAAGCCAGAAATCCAATGAAGCAGTTCAAATTGCAACTTAAGCTATAGATTTTAAAAAATTTATGAAGCTGTAAACTGGAACAAGGCAGAAGCATCAAATAGACTCCCGACTATCCAAATAGACATTTCGCTTGGTTCCAGTCCCTGATGGGAACAGTCTGAGTCCACCCTTCAGACCCTTCTGTCCTGCATCTGATAGTTCAGTCACTAGCAGAATATTTGCAAGCCTGATGTCATGAGGAGTAAGTTTGTCTCAGAAGAGGGACTTCCATGCCTCGGCAAAGTCTGGAAGAATAATAATAACTTTTAGTCCCCCTTAAGTCTACAAAAAGGTCTACGAAAGGAATTGTGAGCCAGGAACTTAGAGGTATAGCTTGGGCACAGACACTAACTTGCTGGGTGACCTTAGGTCAGTCTCTCCCCTGCCCTCTTGGGTATGCTCAGAGTACATTGGACTATAGGATCCAAAAGGCCTGTGATAGGCAGAATCAGGGCCCCAAGGATGCCCTTGTCCTAATCCCCAGAACCTGTGCATAAGTTATCTTACATGGTAAAAGAGATTTTGAAGATGTGATTAAGCTAATAGCCTTGCAATGGTGGAGATTATCCTGGATTATCTGGTGGCCTGATGTAATCACGAGGATCCTCTAAAGAAAAAGCAGGAGTCAGAGGGAGATGTGGCTGTGGAAGTTCAGAGTTCTGTGATCTGAGGACTCAATCCATCATGGCTGGCTTTGTAGAGGGACGAAGAAAACATGAACCCAGGAATTCAGGTGGCCTCTAGAAGCTGAAAAAAGTAAGTAGATTCTTCCCTGGAACCTCCAGAAAGGAATTCAGTCTTGCTGACACCCAGGTTTTAGCCCGTGAGACTTGTGGCAGATTTCTAACCTACAGAACTGTGAGATAATACATTCGTTTTATTTATTTATTTTTTTTGGGGGGGGGGTACCAGGGATTAAACTCAGGGGCACTCGACCACTGAGCCATATCCCCAGACATATTTTGGATTTTATTTAGAGACAGGGTCTTACTGAGTTCCTTAGTGCCTCACAGTTGCTGAGGCTGGCTTTGAACTCACGATCCTCCTGTCTCAGCCTCCCAAGCTGCTGGGATTACAGGCGTGCGACACCGTGCCTGGCCATTCATGTTATTTTAAACTGCTAAATTAGTAGTAATTTGAAGCGATAGGAAAGGGCCTTGACCAGCTATAAATTAAAGCTCAGCTTCACTAGCAGCTTGAGTGACCCCAGCTGAGAGACTGCCCCGGGAAGCAGGTCAGGGGTATCTTTTACCTTCTGGGGTTCCCGTCACCGCCAACTCCTTGGCTATGTTTGTGTGTGAACATGACAGGTAGGTACAACTTGTCCAGTACTGGGTGCTGGAGATAGTACTGTCATAGCACTAGGAGTCTCAATGGGTCGCGGGAGGTTGTCTGGTCCTGCATCTTCCCTTCACATAGGGAAGACTTTATCTTCATCCCCAAATTGAGGGAGCTGCGTCCAGAGAGGGTTGGGATCTCACTATTGTCAGAGAGCTGCTGAGAGAAGGCAGCCCAGGACTAGGGCTGCCAATTTCTGATGAGACTCTTTTCTACTCATCATGTTGGGGAAATAGCTTTCCTTGGTGTTAGTGGGTCATGGTGGGAGGGAAAGGCGATGAATAGGTAGCTACAGTGTAGATAGGATGCTGGAGGAAAGAGCAGGACCAGAACTCTGAGCCCCTGGTCTAGCGTTTCTATGCATCTATGCACAAGGGGGAAGACCCAGACATGTTAGCACATTAGACTTTCCCCCTCTGCTTTGGGGGAGACCCTGGTTGGAAGCGTTAGAGTTGGTAGTAGGAAGTCAAAGTCAAGGCCAAAGGAATGGAATCAGCAGGATGTCCTGAGGACAAGATTCTGCCTGAAAAAGAAAGTCTCATTTGCTAATAAAGGCTTAAAAGGGAACGTCCTTCTGTCCCCTCCAAGGCACCTTCTAACTGCCTTTCCTACCTGGTCACCCTCTCGGGAGTCATGAAACAGACGTGACGTCTAGAGGGATGAGGCAGTTCAGTTTGATGGTGTGGAAAGATGAGGTGGAGAGAGGGCCAGTAGGCTGGTGTGTGGTGGAGAGGCCACACTGGGGGCTTGTGTCCAGCTTGAATTGACAGACAGGATTGGGAGGAGTCAGGGCAGCAGACAGACTTCAGTGGGCCTAGAAGGCCATCTTTGTGATTCCGAGGTGTGGGCAGCTTTCTCAGCTGCCATCTCTTCATGCCACGCGGGGGGTGGGGGGTAGTGTCCTTCTAGACACAAGCTACAACCTGTCAGTGGGTCATGAAGTCCTTGACAAGGTCGTGCTCAACTTTTTCAAAACTTGAGAACAGGATCAAATATAGAGTGTACACGTTTTGTCAAGGGAAATGCTATTGCTTGAAACTTTACATACATATCCCTGGTCCGGGGCAGGTCTGAGCTTTTCCTTAGTGGCTGGGAAGAGACCTGGATGTGGAGAAAAGGCAGAAATGACACAGCCATTTCCACAAGACCAGCTTTTAATATGACCGTGATTTGAAGCACGAATAAATAAACTCCAAAAAAAAAAAAAAAACGAAAAAAACAAACCAAACCTTACAACATCAAAACCAAAAAAAAAAAAAAGCATAAAACAAAAAAATCTCCAACAGACAAACAAAATAGCCCCCGCCCCCAACCCAAATTAAAAAAACAAATCAGACTGTACAAGTTGTGTCACAGAGAGAGAAGAACAACGTGGCTCCATGGATGAATACTGGGGTCGCCCAGGACACTGTGCTACCTTCACAGGCGCTGGGGCGGGAGGGAGTTTGGCGCTGGTCACCTGAGGTGCCGGAGCCCCATGGGCCAGTTTTGGGGGGAAAGGGGTTGTGGGCAGGTTAAGAACCTTCACGAACTACACAAGGATCGAACATAGTAGAGTCCTGCAGTTTCCCTCTCGACTGTGCAGTTTTAGTGCCAGAGTGGCCTCATGGTGGCTTTGGGGCTGGAATCTGGACCCACTGCACGGGCGGCAGAGCGGACACTGGAAACTGCATGGAGGAATATCATGTACAAGACAGATGTGAGGTGGCGCCGTGAGAAGTCTGAGCATGCAGGTGCTTTATACATCTGGCAGTGAGATGTGATGGCAGGTTGGTTCTCGGACAGTTCCAGAGTGTGACTCATCTCTCCTACGAGGGACGCACGGCGAGGCCCAGGGACGCTTCATGTCAGACGTGGCCGGAGCGAGGTTTGGCAGAAGTTTGCAATGTGTGCATAGGGGGCTCTTGCTTCTTCCCGTCATCAGGGGCCATCCCACCTGAGCTGGCTGTCCCCTGTCCTAGGTCTTGGGCCTTAAGGTCTGTTTGGAGGGTGCTGGCTTAGCCCGAGGGGTGTCAGCAGGCAATCTCTTCCAAGGTGCCCAAGGCTGTCTGCAGGGGCACGTTCACAGTGTGGCTGATGGTTTCGGAGTGGTTTGGCATCGTGTCGCAAGTGCTCTGCAGGGAAAGGGAAGGTGGGCGTTTGTCATTCACTCAGCAAACATTCACTGGGAGGCCAAGCCCTGCTGGAACCCCTGTAGGTCAGAACCGGAGCTGATCAGAGCTTTAGAGCAAAGCTGACCCCAGGGAAAAGCAGCTGTGTGTGTCCCTGAGGAGCGTGGAGTTGAGGTGGCTCTGAATCGTTGGGTGGTTCTCGGGCTTCAGTATGCAGGAGGCTGGGAGACTGGCCAGGAGGCTGTGCCAGGAATTTGGGGGAGATTTGATGGGGACAGAGCTGGGGGAGGAGAAGTGGGATGAAGGGAGGCCACGAGGCTAAGACATTCTGAAGGCAGGAGGGGAGGTGGGCTGGGGAGGTAAGCACCACTTGCTGGGAAGGTACTCTCCACTAGGTGCTGTGCTGACCCATTGATAGGCATGACCTCACTTAATCCCCATGACAACGCTCTGAGGTCCTATGTTGTTACACAGATGCTCATGGAGGTTAAGAACCTTGCCCCCTAGAGCACAGCTAGGAGGAGGGACCTGGGATTCAGCCAGACCCGCTGAGACCAGAGCCTGGGGCCCTTCCACCCTGCTCTCCCCTTCGGTGGAGGCCATCCTCCATTCAGCAGAAGCTGCAGAAGTCCAAAGAACTAGAGCAAGACTCTTAGCCTGGGAGATGGGCAGAGAGACACTGTCTGGAACAGAAATGGGAGCCCAGATAGAAGTGTCTCAGGTCCATTTGGGACTGGTTGACTTCAAGGGATGGTGGGCTTTCAAGGCATGAGGTTGTCCCAGGGCTGGAAGTGCTGATTGGGGTGCCAACACCGGGTTTGAAAAGCCAGAACTATTTGTGTATGTCAATCAACCTGAGCCCAGGAGTGGACTAGGTTTGGGAGAATGATGGCTGGAGGGAAGAGGCAGAGTAGGGCAGTGTGGATGGAGGTCCTTGGAGTTTAGCTCTGACACTCAAAAGCTATGTGACTCTGGCCTCCGTAGCCTCAAACACTAGAAGGAGATAAAGATAGATCTTCCTCTAGGGTGACTGTGAGGCTGCAGTGACATGGTGCACATCGTCACTCAGCACAGTGGCCAACATGTGCCAGGCATACGGTTGTCCTTAGCTATAGTGGGTATGCTTGCTACCAACTTCACCAGGGCCCAAGCTTTGTCCCCTTCAAATGGGATGGGTGCCAGTGACATTCTGCTTGCATTTTGCCAGCTTTGGGGAATAAGGCAGTAAACCTACATAGATCATCTCTTGCCTTCCCCAGGCTGTGAAGTGAGGGGAGGAGCTGTCTGGACCATGAAGAACCTATCCTGGAATCATTTCCTGGAATTAGCTGCATTCATGGCTCACCATTGACCTTTGGGATGAGGTTTGGTTGGAGTGTCCTTGGATTTGGGGACTGACAGGTTATCATAAGCCGCAGAAGGTGTGCAGTGAATCACATCCATCCTGCCCAGCCCCAGGATCTGGCTTCCCTTCACCCACCTACTCCACGGGATCTCTGAAACTTCCAACCCAGGAAGTTGCACTTACCACATTCTCATCATGGCTCCCTTCGTCCTCCTCTTTGCCAAGCAGGTCTAATAGCTTCTCTTTGATCAGCTGCAAGAAAAGCAGGAAGGAGATCGTTAGGCCAGGAGGATGGTGCAAAAAGGCTCCCTCTGTTGGGCTCCACTGGGGAGCTGCAGAGGCAGCAACCATCTGGTTGTGGTGTGGACACTGCATGGCAAGAACCAGGCCTGCAGGCCCGTACAGCTTTAGAAGCCCATCTGTCTCCACCTGGCTTTGGCCAACGTGGCATTTTTATTTTTGCAGGAGAGAAAGAGTGGGAGGGTCCTGTCTTGGAGTGTGGAGACCCCTTTCTGTTCTGGATGGAGAGTGTCGATAAGCAGAAGGTGCTGGTAGGACTGGCTCCGTATTAGTCCCCAAGAGCGGCCTGGGACCCCCTTTTAAGACGGGGCCTGGGAGACAAGGTCATTCTTTACTTTCTGGCCTGACAACTCCACAATTCACAAAATGAGGGCACACTTGCCTTCCTAATGTTTTATTCCTAGCAATAAAGGGAAGTTCTTAAATACATTAGAGGATGTAATTCAATTGCTCTAACTTTGTATAGCTTTTCATAAGAATTAATAAACAAAGAATAAAATCTAGCCATGGGACCTTATTTAGGTTGGGTTCATCATTCTGAGAGGCTTGAGAGACTCCAGAGGACCTCTGTCATGGGGCTCCATGGCTCCCCATGATTCCCAGCGTTGCTGGCCATGAACAGCCAGCCTTCAGAGGGAGGCAGAACGCTGCTGTGTGGGCATTTGCTGGCATAGGATCAAGAGGTCCGGAGGGACTTTTGCAGGTCTGGGCATGCCTTAGAACTTCTGGGACCATTGCCTGTTTCAGGGGGTCAATTGGAGGGGTGAAGGGCACTTCCCACCTCACAGCCAGGGAACTGGGGGTCTGCAAGTGAACACCTGGGACAGACTCATAGGTAGACTGTGCTTCCTGCTGCTGGTGAGTCGCTAACTCCACGCTGCTCCTCAGGTGGCTGGCTGAGCCTCTCAGGCTCTTTGGCCAAGTTAATCCTCTGCAGAAAAGTCTAGAAGCTTGCTCCCCACTGGCCTGGATCTGGGGGAGCTGCCAGAGCTGACGAGTTCCAGGCACTCTGGAAGCCCGAGGAGCCTTCTGCTGTTTGAGGAGATTTCTGAGGCCTTGTTCTAGCTGCCTCATGAGGGAGCCATCTCCCTACACTGGAGGCAGCTGGTGCTTGGGGATTGATGAGGACTGCTGGGAAATGCCCCTTCCCTAAGACTGGCCAGACCACAGAGGACACTGTCCAGGGGATGGGCTATTCAGAGGGTAGGCTTGTGCATGGTGTGTGTGTGTGTCTGTCTGTCTGCCTGCGCGTGCATATGTGTGAATGTGTGTGGTGTGTGTATGTTTGAGTGTGATGCGTGTGAGTGTGATGTGTTGTGTGGTTGTATGTTGTGAGTGTCAGTGTGTGTTGATGTGGATACATCCATGCTACGAAGCCCCCGCCACCAGCCTTGTTGTAGGAGGTAGACAGGGCTGGCCTCCCACCCTTCCTGCTCCTTCTCTACAGGTAGACAGCCCATCACTCTTCGGGCCCCTGAGGATAGGACCATGGCTTCCATTTCTCTCCCACCACCCCTCCTTAAGATTGCCCTCCCCAATACCTCCCCCCCCCCACCATGCCTAGGGATTGGGCAATGAAAGATATGGGCGCACAGCAGGAGGAGCAGGCTCTGGGTGGGGGGAGCCAGGCACCTCCATATGCCTTGGTTCTGAGCCTGGAGGTGGGTGGAGGGCAGGGTCACTTCCCTGAGGACAATCCCATCTTACCTCATAAATATAATCAAAGAGCTCTAGTATTGTAAGGATACTAGCACCAATAAACAATCCCATCTGACCACCAATGTCACCTGGAGAGAGAGGGGAAAAGACCAAAGTTTTGGTTTTACTCACACAGGAAGGTGTGAACAGACGAAGAACTTGGAAGCCAGAGTTCCTGAACAGCGTCCCCTCCACGGGGAGCCTGGGTTTATCACGAGAGGGCCAGGCCTCTGGCTGGGCCCACCGCATGGCTCTGAGAGACAAGTGTGTCAGCACCCAGTGACGGTGGAGACTGACGTGACCACTTACTGGAAGGGCTCATGGGCTTGTTCCATCACCCTCAGAACCACACTGGGTCCCATGTGGCTCCCCACTGGGAAAGACAAGATGTTTGGGCCCTTGCCCTGGACAAGGGTGCAGATAGCCTCATACACCAGTGTCAGGAGCCCTGGGTGTGGGTCTCAGGAGCAGTGGCACCACAGACGTCCCCTCTTCCCCCACCATCATGGCATGGCCTTCAGGGCCACCTAGGGGCACCTTCCACTCTTGGGATAAGGTCCTAGATGTCTCCTCTCTCCTGTCCAAGGGTCCATGGTCATTGGGGTCTCTTTCTAGAGTGGAGGTTCTCACCCTGGGACATCAGGTTTCCTTTGGTCAAATTTCTCTAGATTTGTCTTCCAATCCCTGCATCAACTCTCCTGGGAGACTTTCCATCTGAGTAGATGTCTGGATGCACTTCAAGCCTGGAGAATCAGAACCTCTGGGGTTGATTCTGAGCATTTTTGAAGTTCCCTGAGTGGTTCTCAGGCCAGGGGTTAAGACCGACCTTCCTGGGTGGGCTTTGGATGGCTGGAAACCGCCCCGTGAAGGTGAAGGCCATAGTGCATGGCACTTGGGCACTTTTGGCAAGAGAGACCTCAGCTTTCGTCAGGTTCTCAAAGGGTCTGGACTCCTCAGAAGCCTAAGATGCTCTGCTCTGGAGTCAGCAAGTAGAGCACAGCTCTGGGGTGCAGAGTGGCCTCCAACGTGTGTGGCTTTGACAAGCCCTGACCTTTGCAGAAACCTTGCCCGGGTGGTGGTGGTGGTGAGGAGTGGGGCAGAGGATCAAAACCATGGAGTCCCTCCCTGCTCTACTGGCCAGCTGTCAGCCTCCAGGCTGGCTGGGGAACAGGGTGGGAATGGGGGATGCCCTTGGTGGGGGTGGACCTCTTAGTCTAAGGACTTTCTGAGGGGTAGGTCGCCCCGACTGCTCCCTCGCACATGGCTGAGCAAAGCCCAACACCCACACTCCCAGGTGGACCAGCAGAGATGGTGGGAATTTGATTTGATACTAGGCTTGAATGGCTCCCCTTGGCTTCTTTTCCTCCCCCTCAGTCTCTCGAATGTCCTTAATGCAGACTTACTGGGGAGTGTGTACTTCCGTACATGTACTTCAAGTGTGAGGGAGTTTGCGTTTGTGTGCAGCGTGACTAGAATGCAGTGGTGGAGTAGGAAGGGTTTGTTCCGAGGTGTGGTGTGTGTGTGTGTGTATGCACATATTTGTCTAGAAGGAGGCCAGCAGGTCTGGCCATTGATGGCTTTTTGTGGGTGGCTACCTCCCTCAGTTAGGCACACTGAGTGTGTGTGTGCATTTGTGAGTGTGAGTCTGTGGAGGTAGATGGTGTGTAAGCATGTGTAGATGTGGGTGTGTTTTGTGTGTTATGCAGGTGTATGTGAGGACTGTGTCTTCCTAGGTTGTGTGCATGGACGAGTGTCTGAAGCTGCGTGGCTGGCAGGCAGGGCCATGTGGGTGTGCATTTATGTGTGGTTCTGGACCCCATGGGCTACATGGACCTGTAGGTTGGCGTGCATGTGCACAGGTTGTGTGGGGGGACCCCTGGGTTGGGTGAGCGCCTGGGCAGTGCGCATGTGTGCCGACACTAGGTGGTGGTGAGGGATGGCTGGGCTGGGCCTGATGGCTGAGGGTGTGCAAGTGGCACATGCTCTCATCACAGGAGGTACAGATGGCAGCACGATTTCCTCAGTGAGCTATTCTGGGTGGGAACAAGATGCTGGGAACAAGCTCATCCTCATATCTGATGCAGAATGACAGATTCAGAGCTCGGGCCCTCCTTACTGAGTGTGTGAGTGTGTGTGTGTGTGTGTGGAGAGAGAGAGAGAGAGAGAGAGAGAGAGAGAGAGAGAGAGAGAGAGAGAGAGAGAGAATATGCTGGGGAGGGAAGAGGAGTGGGGAAGCACATTATGAATCACTTTTAGGAAATACAGGTCAGACCCACAAGATTTACGAGAAGGAGCTGGACCTCTACTTTGGGGCTCAGCTCATGAGTCTATTGGCTACCTTTGACCACAATGACCTTGAAAGCCTGAGTGCCAGCCATCTTAACCCAGTTGGAACTGAGCTCTGACTCAGTCCCTAGCCTCCTAGAGGAAGTGTAGAAATGCCCAGATGGACCCTGGGTCACTGACCTGGTGACTGTCCAGGTTCCAGAACCTATTGCTTCTGGACTTTCTCTGAGCTCAGAGTTTATCACATCTAACCCTTGCAACAAGCTCATAAACTGGGGGTTAGTAAATCTAATCTGCACCTCAGGAGCCTGAGGTCCAGCAAGGTGAAGCCATTGGCCCAGATTCTCACAGCTGTTTTTCAGCAGCCTTTGGGTTCAAAGCCAGCACGTCCTTCTGTACTTCCATGCAGAATGCACCTGTTCCTCCCGGGATGCTACTCTCACCTAGTTCTATCACGGGGACAATGGCTATTTCTTCCTTAGGGCCTAAGCATTGCACTTTTTCTTGAGATGCGGGGGAGTAGGCAGAAGGGCTCCAGGGGCAGGTCCTTTGACTGTCCACTCTTGGAGGTCTTGTGAGTTTGGGGCTGGGCTGGGTCAGGGTGGAAATTAACTCCCTGTGTCCACTGTGTGCCAGTGGGGTCTAGGGCAGCTGAGGTGAACTACTGTGGGGTGGCAGTCAGGTTGGTGGAGTTCTGGGGCAAGGGGCCCTTCATTTGTATTTGACAATGGACTCTTGGTCCAGGGTGCAGCACCTGCCTTCTTGGTGCAGGAACCTTGCTCTCCAGGCATGACTTCATCAGGGACCTTGGCTATGTCAGGTGCCTGGGGACCACCCACCATGGAGCATCTCCTCCTTTCTTCTTCCTACAGCTCTTTGCTCCTTCCATACCCCAGGACACTGACTCCAACCCAGGGGCAGAAGACTGTGGAACCCAAGAAAGCAGGGCTGGAAAGCTCCTGAGAGACCCGTGAGCTCAACCTCCTCGTTGCACAGAGCGGGAAACAGCGTCCAGGCTGAGAACTGAGCTGGGCCTAAGATCTGCACCACAAGGGAGCTCCTCCCTTCTGGGCCAGGGGCAGTGTAAAGAAAGAGGGAGTGATTAGTCGCCTCCTTAGGAGGCTTATATACCTATGTGTCTGCCTGCTCCCTCCACCTGCCCACCCCTGGAGATGTGGAGATTTGTGCAATAGACACTCCGACTTACCAAGTAAGGCTGCGACTTCATACGCTTTCTTCTGTTCAATTGTCTCATAATTGAGAGCTTCAAAAAAGATATCCAGAACGAGGATGTTCTCTCTGCAGAGGGAATATTCAGTACCATACACGGTTAGAGCCATCGGCGTTCACAGCTTTCCCAAGGACAGATGGAAGAATGAGGGCCCAGGAAGAGTGGAGCTGGAAACCAGGAGCCCTGACTCCTGCCTGGGACCACAGGCCTCTACCGGCTGCCCTCGCTGGCCCTTGTCTCTACCTGCCACTTGGTATGTTTCCAGGTCTCCTGCCTGGCTTCCAAGACTCGGAGCCCCCACGAGCCTACCCAGGTCCTTAGTATGAAAACGAGTCCAGCAACCTCCTGACCAGGCCGGTGTTGGCTGAGATAGCTGTCCAGCTGACCTCCTGGGTGGTCCTGTCTACTCCTGAGAACCCCCCAAGTCCTTTGGGACTGAGAGCAAGCTTCTCCTAGGAGGCGGCCCTGCCCTGGCTTTGCTGAGCAGCTGCCAAAGTCAGAGGATCTTCTAGAGAGCAAGCCCATGCCTGCTGGGGTTTCCTGGCAGAAGCTCTCTTACACCCCTCCTGCAGGCAGGTGTGTTAACGAGGCCCATCTTGGCAGTGAAAGTCACTACCGCCTGCGGAATGCCTGCTAAACAGCGGCGCCTGGCACCTCTGACTCCCATTTCCTTTAGCACTGCTCACCAGGCTCTTGGTGCGCCCTGTTCTCCACCTGTTGAGCAGAAGCTCTCCTGGGGTGGGTTCTGGCAACGGTCCTGACAGGAAGGAGTGGCTGGGGATGAGAGGAGCAAATCCTCCTCTCTCTGCACAGGAGTCGGCCTCCCCATTTCTTGCCTGGTTTATGGCAACTGCCTCGTAACAGGCTCCCTTCTCCCCATCTGGCTTTCCACCCGGCTCTTAGACAGTCGCCTGAGGGGTCTTTTTAAAACAGCGAAGTTGATTTCAATGAAATAAAATGAGAGTTCAGTTCCTTGCTCGCACAGACTGCCTTTCCAGTGCTCATCAGCCACATGGGGTTAGTGGCTGCCACACTGGGCGCCCCAGGTGTGGAAGGCTTCCGTCACCGCAGGATGCTCCATTGGAAAGCAGGGGTCTACGTACAAACTTGAGCCTGTCACTCACCTCCTAACCGTTTAGCAGCTTCCGGGGGTCTCTTGGGATAAGTCTACCCCTTGCACCTTATAGCCTCCCTCCCTAAAGGTGGGGGCCAATCCTTAAGTCAACTTTGTCTTTATTCTAAATGCTAAACCCAGAGCTTGGAATGCAGCAGGTGCTCAATTAATGCTTGCTAAACTGAACTGATGAGCTTTGCCCTCCTCCCACATTTCCCTCGGTTTCCTCCTGACCCAGCCCTCCTTCCACCTCCCCATCATGCCCATTGTACTTACGAGATGTATTTTTCTGATTTGTTAAATTTCTTCTCAAGGTACTTGGCTGACGTCTTGCTGGGGATCTTGACCATGGAGAGCTCTTTGTTGTATCGGGTTAGATTGCAGGGGGTCCTGCAGAGACAGTAATTGCTGTCCTTTTCCGCCAGCAGACCTGGGGGGTGGGGGAGAAGGAGGGGGGAGGTCATAATCAGGTGTGGGGACTGGGGCTTCTGGCCCAGCCTAGAGGGATCTGAGCAGCTGGGAGGTGAGCTGGAAGGGGGGGGTGGTTCTGGTCCTAAGAAACAGGGCTGGGGGGTTATGGAGAGAGAGGAGCTGGGCTTTTATTATAGTCGGGGTCTTTTTTTTTCTCCCCCTGCTTCATGTCAATCTTTAAAGATTGCTCAAATATTGTCACTTTTGGAGAATAAGCTTCAAAGGAGTCCTGGATTTTTGGGGGCTCTTTTTTCTGCTCTTGGCCTCTGTGTTCTCATTCACAAAGTGGGCCACCATCAAAGTCTTCATGGGGACCACTGCACCTGGGGACCCAGTCCCTTTGGTGTTCCTGCTAGGGCTCCCTCAGAGCCAACGCCCAACTCCTCTACCTGCTGGGGTACAGGTGTACAAATGTCCTCAATTCCTTTCCCTGGAGACAATCTCCCTACAGCTAGGACCCTTCTCTCCCTCTCTTCCCTTCTTCTAAACAGGTGAGGGGGTGTAAGCTGTTTCCCTTGGCCAAACTTGAGCCAGGCTCTTCAGAGCCTTTTGGACTAAGTCTTGATCTTGGCCTCCCCCTTTCTGGGCCTACCTCGCCTCACTGAGCAGGAATCCTGCTAAGGGCAGTTTAGAGAGAATCCCAGCCCTTGATATACCTCATCCCCCTGGCCAACCTCCAACAAGCAGCCTAAGTTGGTTTCTCAAGAACCCTGCTGCCCCTGATGGCTCCTCTGTCAGTTTCTGTCCTCGGATTCCTTCACATCACTCGTTGGCCATGAGCACAGCTGTCTTTGCTGTCTTCTGGGTTGAGCCCCCTCTCTCTCCCCTGTCACTGTGGCCTTGACTCCTACTGCAACAGCCTCAAAGCTTCTTACCATTTGAACAAGTGTCAGAATAATGTTTTTTTTTTCTTTAGTACCTGCCTGTTTACCCGTCTCTCTCTTTTCATCTCATCTCCGTGCTTTCGGCCACCTTTGGGTCTTGCTCAGTCTTTATTCCAAAGACTGAATCTTTGAACACATTAGAAGTCACTCCTATCTCCTCCCATCCCTAGTTCTTCTGGAACCATCGGGATGTGAGTGCGCGTCCAGCTCTGTCCCCACTTAGCTCCCTCAGGGACAGCTGCTGAATGCACTTGAGCACACATTGTCTACACTGCTCCCTGCTTGTCTTGATTAGAATCCATTTCCCAGGATGGTAGAAAGGCAGCATGAAGAGCAGGGCTCGTTTTGGGGCTGCAGTGCCTTTGTGGGTTCTTCCTCTCTCCCGGTGCTCTGGCTGGGGGTCCAGCAGAGTTACTCTAACAGCAAACGCCCAGCAGGCTGCCGGAGGAGGAGGAGGACAGGGAAGGCTCTGTGCCTTCCACTTGCATAACGGAGTGTAAACCTAGCCTCACGTGCTGCCTTCTCCTGCCACCCAGGGCTCAACAGTGTATGGGAGGGAAAGACTGGTGGGCTCTGGACTAACCTCAGCCTCTGCGTGAACACCACCAAAGCATGAGGAGAAGTATCACCAAGCTACTCTGGGAGCTCCTTGTCCATCATCTCTCCGTCTCTGCCCTCTCCCTACATTCCCGAGCATCCTCAGTGCCTCATGAAACTCACTTCGTCTCTATCTCTGCATCTGGACCTTCCTTCTCTCCGTTCTCCGTGACCCTCATCTTCTTGTACCAATTGTCTCCTGTCTTTTCCTCCTTCCTTCTCTCTCTATCCTGCCCCTGCAGTGAACCCATCCTGCCCAGCCCCTTTCCTCCCATCCCCTCTGGGTTCCTTTTTCTACCCCCACACCCGGATGATCTCCAAGATCTCAGTCTCACCCCCACGCCAGTACCTCTGACCCCCAGTACTGACCTAGGGCAGGCTCTGCACACTCCTTGTGCTGTTCAGGGGTACAGAAAGGGGCATCCCCTGCAAAGAAGAAACACCCAGAGGGAGAGTTAGGCAGAACCATGCACGCCAGCAGCACCCGCCTCCCTGGGCTCGGCACACTGAGCACCTCCTGGGACCCAGCAGGCCAGCGGATTGTTAGAAGGGAGCACTGACCAGAGCTGGAAGGCTGATCTGCTCTGTGAGCCTGGCCAGGGGGGCTCACCTCCTGAGCGGGAGACCGTAGGGCCTGCGGACCCACTTCTCTCAGGTTGCTCCCTTGGGGATGGGTGGACGTGCCTGGAGGACTGAGGGTGGGGAGGAGGTTAAGTCCCTTCTACATCTGGGTGTGCATGATCTCCTTCAGCCTGAGCAGGTAGGCTTCAGAGCAAGACACACAAATCCATTTCACCCAGGAGAGAGTGGAGGGCTAAGCTTCATGCCTTCCCGGGACCCACAGCCGGGTGCCATTCAGGGGGGCTTTGGACAGGGCTCAGTCTCATCCCAGGCTGGGACTCTTCTCAGCACATCCCGCTGTTGCAGGTGGCCAAGGTTGCTTTGGGATGACCACCGCTCTGCCCTGAATTTCACACCAGTAACGGAGACATTACTTTACAGTAGTAATAGTAAGGGTGTCGAGGACGGCCGCTTTACCCATTCGCCTTTGGCTCAGATTTCATAGGCGAAACCCCTCGAGCTGCTGGCTCAGTCTGAGCCTCAGGCAAGTCCCATTCATCAGTTTTGGATTGCCCTCTCTGGGCTCTTTGTGTAGAAGTCTGGGATCTTTTTTCCTTTTTATGAAATGCTAAAGTCCATCGTATTATCATTTCCTTATCAATTAGCCCAACCCCCCTTTTTCAGAGCTGAAGGCTTGATATTCTTCCTTCTTTCCAATAATGACATTTTAGATGGCATTTTTCCTTTTCTACTCTGTCTTCCAGGAGGTCAGAGGTGATTTTCATGTAAGTAACACAATTTATTGTCTTACGGTTTTGAGGTCAGAAGTCAGACACGGGTCTCAAGGACTAAACTCAAGGTGTTGGGAGGGAGGGGTTCTTCCCTGGAGGCTACCGGGGAGAATTCAGATCCTTGCCTTTCCAGTTTCTGAAGGCTGCCCCAAGCTCACTGGCCACCCACCTTCCTTCATCTTCGGAGTGAATAAAACCGCATCTCTCTGGCCCTTCCTCCATAGGCACCTCTGTCCCTAGCTGGGGAAGGGGAGTTGATTTCCTTAATCCCTGTGGTTAGGTCATCTCTCCATCCTAACGATGGCCCTTTTAGACAGAGACAATTTGAAAGATTAGTAATTCTAATTTTAGATCACTAACGTCACTACTAATTGATTACTAATGAAGTAATTGAGAACCTAAGTATGAGGATGTTCACTCCAGGGTGGGTTATAACAAAGTAATTGGTGAGGAACTCAGTGTTCAATAAGGATTTGTTAAATAACTGAAAGTATGATATAATCTTGAAACAGCAATCACAAAATGTAATGGCAATGTTCCTGGCACTTTGTAGGTCTTCATTCAACATGAATTTTAATTTCTCCTTGTCATGTGCCAACACAACCCCTGACTTTCACTTTGCAAAGCATTTTTTTAAATATTCTGGCCTAATTTTGTCTTCCTAACAGCTAATGATTACATTTTGAAAATAGCAAAAGCGAGAACAGAGAGGGTTAGTAATTTATATCATGTCACAAAGTGTGTAGATGAGGCTGAAAGAGAAGCCAAGGGCCCCCTGCCTTCAGCCCCACTCATTCTTTCATACTGTAACATCAAACTCCTGCCCAAACAGCTTTAAATCTACGCTGCTGCCTGACATACCAGCTACCTCTAAAGAGATGGCTATATGCATTATTAGTCTGACAACAGAAGTGTCAGTACATGCACATTTATTTGCTGGGTAATAGACTTTTGCCTCACTTGAAAGGGTGCTAGACATGTGGATGCAAGAAGGGAAACATCTGGAGGAAAGCAATAGACATCTGGATGTTGACGCATGTACCACGCCAGGTTGCAAGAATGGCAAACATCCAGTGGTCTGGGCACTAAACTCTCAGAGGTAAGAGCATCAAACACTTGGCAGACATATTGAACACTGGGCTAAATGTTTTCCAAACATCTGGGCACTCCTGGACACTAACTAGGATGCTGCCATGGTCGCTGGACTGAGTGTTTCCAGCTTCAGTGTAAATATTTAGGAACCAAATGACAGAACAACATCCCTCGGAGTTCTTGCAGAACAGTGAAGTTTTTCCCACCAAGGTGAGAAATGCAAAGCAGGTCCCAGGTGGTCCCCGGCACCAACCTGGCATGTGGACCATGCGGCAGTTGCAGTTCTCCACGATGTAGCGGGTCTCACAGTCAATCCGACAGGCGGTGATACTGTAAACAGGAAAGAAGTCGAGCCCCATCTCCGAGGATCGGCACTCACCCCACGGCGGGGGCAGGTATGTAAGCTGCAAGAGAGGAAGGAGGGGGCAGTGGTTATCCCTGGAGGAGGATGCTTGTTCAGCCCCGACGGACACTCATTCAATCAACAGATGGCTACTGAGCATGACAACCTACAGCCACTGGCCTCATGGACCCTCCATATCTGGCACCAATAGGATTTTTCAGACCTCACCTTTTACAACCTTCCATAAATGTAAGGAGGCCTCTTATCCAAAACTGGGTCTTCTCACCTCCACACATTATCTCTCACCTTTTAGAATAACCCAGCTAAATTCCACCCCTTGGCTGGAGCCATGGGAACCTGGTACCTGGACCTGGAGAGGCAAACCTAGGGGAGGAATCAGAATATAGCAATTTTAGGTATAACCATTGTTATTTATGATCCTGATCATGCTGTGGATGGCACCCCTCTGGGGAGAATGACATTCCTATTCTCAGAGGTCCAATGACCAGACATTTTCTTCTAGCATCTATGGTGCTTGCCTGATGGGGATGGGGAGGGAGGAGCATGAGAGAATCAATGTTTGTTTAGCACTTACTATGTGTTAAGGCCCAAGGTAAGTTTTTCACCCCTATTTCTTAAGATCGAAGAATAAAAAATATGATAAAATATACAAATTTTAAGTGTCCAGTTCAAGTTCTGACAAATGTATCATTATGTAAACAGCATACCAACCAAGACTCAGGGCATCGGTCACCCTAGAAAGCCCCTTCCTGTCCCTTTCCAGGCAGTTCCCCTTCTACCCAGGCACTTTTATGGATTCCTTTAGCACAGCTTGGCTTGCCTGGTCTCACCACGTAATTACAAGTTTCATTATGAGATGTTGAGAGCCACAGCCAAAGGGGCCCCAGCAAACTTTCAGACTGCCAGATGATGATTGGCTCACAGCGCCCCAGCAACATCTAGCTGATTGGCTCCTCTGCGGTGATGCTCATTGGGCTGTTTCCCTGCCCTTTCACACCACGGAGCTGCTCATTGGGGGACTTTTTTGGCTCCTCCCACACGACCCAGCCAATCGGCCTCAAGAGCAGGAGGATTGTGGGAGGTGTGGAGGCTTGTGGTTGAGAGAGAGGCTTGTGGGAAGCCAGTGGTGGCAGTTGGGCTCTGAGGGTTTTTCCTGAGGAGTGGTTTTGTTTGGTGTGTGTGGTTCTAAAAATAAAGTTCGTTTCTTTTGACAAGTGGCTCCTGAATTGTGCCCAGATATGTCCTATAAAGAATGGATCTTTTCTGTCCCAGATTAGACTTTGTATAGTGGAAAGCAAAGAGAAAACAGTAGAGGAAGGGGAAATCCTACCAGCATCTTCAAGGGATACTATAGCATTAACTATATACTGACTATCGGAAAATAAATTAAATACAGAATCTTTAAACATCACAAAAGCTTGTAATACTGCATTAAGCTCTACCTTTTGAGTTGATTGTTTGGGTACTGAAAATGTAAAAGTTTGATCAGGTGTAACTATTGCTGCTGTACCATTATTTGATCCATCAGTGAATATATTTGGAGCATTCATGATAGGTGTTTTTCTTGTCATTTTTGGAAAAATTACAGGATGCGATGACCAAAAAGACAATAAAGGATTAGATGGTAAGTGGTTATCAAATGAAACATTAGATTTGCACATGATTATTGCCCAAGTATTTAACTCATTAGCTAACTCATCAATTTGATTCATAGTATATGGAGTAATAATTTTATTGGGAGAAATTCCAAACACTCCCTTTGCTGCTTTTATTCCTTTGAGTATTAATTGTCCTACAGCCTCAGGATACCTAGTAAGAATGCTTATTGGGCTGTTTCCCCGCCCTTTCAGACTGCCAGCTGATGATTATGTATCTGTCTGGCTTCATCCATGCAACATGTTTTTGAGATTTTTACCCACCCTTCCATCAGGAATTCACTTCCTTTTGTTTTTTCTGAGTAGTGTTTCATGTCTGAATGCACTACAATTTGTTTATTTGTTCACCCAACGGTGGGTGTTTGGGTTGTTTCCAGTTTTGGGTAATTATTGAAAAGAGTGGAAGGTGTATTTAGGAGTCATTTTGTGCACAGGTATTGTAGTTTCTCTTGAGTCAGTGACTGGAGTGGACTAGCCAGTTCATAAGTGAGATGTAGCTGTAATTGTATAAGAAACCGCCCAACTATTTTATCTTCCCACTGGAGGGTAGGGGTTCTAGTCTCTCCACATCCACGTCAAAAATTCAAATATTGACATGGTCATTTTTTGGATCTTCATCCTTCTTGGAGGTGTAACTGGATCACACCGCTATTTCTGTGTGTAATCCCCTGGTCATTGATGATTTGGGGAACAACTTGATGTGTTCATTGGCCATTCATACATTCTCTTGTGTGAAGTATTTGACCAAGTCTCTTACCCATTACAAAAAAAAATCTTGTTTATATTTTACTATGGAGTTGTGAGAGTTCTGCACATAGTCTGGATTCAAGTCCTTTGTCATATATATGTATCATGAATATTTTCTCTATATCTCCTATAATCTGAGGCTTACCTTTTCCTCAATGGTATTGAATTTGCCTACTTTTAATATCAACTTCATTAGGATATAATTTATATATAATAAAATGCATCAAGCTTTATATGCAATGTGATGAATTTTAAAAAGTACACTTTTGCAATAATCACCCTAATCAAGATAGAACTCTTCCAGTAGCTCCCCAAATTCCCTATTTGCAGTCAAGTGCTCCTTACTAACTCTTAGGCAACCACTGGTCTCCTTTCTGTCATAAACTAACTCTGCCAGTCCTTGGATTCTATAAAAATAGAATAATAGCGTGTGATTCCTTTGTGTGGAGCTCCTTTCTCTTAGCATAATGTTTTAAAATTCATCCATGCTCTTGCATCCCTTATCAGTGGTTCATTCTTCTTTATGTTTGACTTTTACTTGATCATTTTTAGTCTTCATTCTTGCCCCACTGCAGTGGCTAGAAATTCCAGTATAATACTGGAAAAAAAATACTGAAGAAAGAAGATATCCTTCCCTTGTTTCTGATCTTAGGAAGAAAGGGTTCATTGTTTCACCATTAAAAATGTTAGGCATATATTTTTCTTAGACCCTTGTTGGACTGAAGAATTCTTGTCCTACTTTGTTGAGAATTTTTTAAAAAATCATCAATGAATACTCTATTTTTGCTGATATGTTTTCTTGCTTATATGGAGAGGATCACATAATTTTTCTCCTTTGTTCTGTTGCTATGGTGAATGAGATTGATTGATCTCCACATGTTGAGCCCCCCCTTGTATTGCTACGGTAAACCTCACTTAGTCATGATTTATTATCGTCTCTATATTGCTCTATTTGATTTGCTGATATTTTGGGGGAATATTTTTTGTCTCTATGTTGAAGAGGGATATTGTATTTAATTTACTTGTTATATTCCCCATCAAGTTTGGTTATTGGGATTACACTGGCCTCATTAAAAACAAAAAGTTATGAAGTGTTTCCTTTTTCTGTTTTTTTTTTTTTTTTTTTTTTTTTTTGTGTAGACTTGGTTTCATTTCTAACTTAAATGCTTGGTTGAATTTACCAGTGAAGCCATCTGGACCTGGTGATTGTGTATGTGCATGTGAAGATTTTAAATTATGAGTTCAATTCCTTTAATAGATACAGAGACATTCAAATTTTCTATTTCTTTATGCGCTAGTTTTGGTAACTTGCAGTTTTTCCCCCAAGGAATTTGTTCATTTTATCTCCATTTTAAAATTTATTGGCACAAACTTCTCTGTAATATGCATTTATCATTTAAAATGTCCATTGAAGTGGTAGTGATGCCCTCTCATGCTTAATGGTGGTAATTTGTGTTCTCTTTCATTTTCCTTGCTATTGATTTCTAATTTAATTACACTTTGCTCAGAAAACATATTACCCATGGTTTTATTCCTTTGAAATTTATTGAGATTTGTTCTATGGTCTAGCATATATTCTATCTTGGTAAATGTTCTCTGTGCACCTGAAAAATATACATTTTGTAATTCTTGGTTTAGTATTTTGAAAAGGCAATTAGATTATGTTATTTGATAGTGTTGCCCAACTCTTCTTTATCTTTTCTGAATTGTTTTTGTCTACTTTTTCATGAATTAATGAGAAAGAAATGTTGAAATCTGTAACCATGGCTATGAACTTGTTCATTTCTTCTTTTTTGTTCTGTCAATTTTTGCTTTGTGTATTTTTGGAACTTATTGTTAGGTGCATACATATTTAGAAGGGTTACATCTTTCTGAAGAATTGACCTTGTTATCATTGTTAAATAATCCTCTTTATCTCATGCACTGTAAGGGTCTTAAAGTTTACTTTGTACAGTATGTTTCCTATGCTTACTATTCATCTTTTTCCATTCTTTATTTGTGTCCTTTTTTTTAACTTTTAACCTGACAGAATCTTTATATATTTAAGGCATGTATCTTGTGAACAGCATATTTGAGTGTTGCTATTTTATCTTACCTGACAATCTCTGCCTTTCAATTGGAGGGTTTGATCTATTTACACTTAATGTAATTCTTGATTCATTGGGATTGAAATGACCATCTTGCTCTCTGTGGCCACTTTAATATCTTCTTTCTTTCCTGACTCCCTTTGGGTTAACTGAATATTGATTTAGTAGTTCATTCTACCTCTTCTATTTACTTTCTATTTGTACTCTTTGTATTGCTATTATTTTTATTATTGCTCTAGGATTTATAATAGTCATCCTTAATTTATCACAATCTACCTCGAATTAATATCACACGACTTCATACACAGTTGCATTTACGTTTTTCTGTTCTTTGTGCGATTGCTGTTATATATTTTACTTCTACATCAGTTATTAACACTTTAGTTCAATGGTAATATTATTTTTGCATTGAATCTAAAAAAAACTAAGAAAGCTTATATTTTAATTAACTCACATATATATTTCATTCTTCCTCACTTATTTTATGGATCTGAATTTTCCATTTGATATCATTCATCTTTAGGCTTAAGAAATTCTCTAACCTTTCTTAT